AAGGCACTACATCAGATATTTCAATGGCATAGCCAAAGCATTACCAGCAAATACATACCACAGCAATTTAGTATTTTCTGAAAACATCAAATTTCTTGATTTATAAAGAACAGAAACATATCTATATAAAAAAAGAAAATATTTTTAAACTATTGCTTAAATATTATAAGAAACTGGGTTTGAAAATGTGGTGATTAGAGGAGAAAATCAGGGAAATGCAAGGTCAAAAGAATTAAGTAGCAAGTCCAAAGGAGCAACAGGTCCAGAGAGCTGATATACAAAGTCAGGAGCCTTGTCAGTACAATTATACTTTTCTAGAAACCTTTAATAAATAGCTAGATATCAGGCATCTTGTAGCAAAAATATCTGTGAGATGATACATTGATTTGTGTCATTAATGTGTGTGTATTTATGAGTGCATATATAGATTTCTATAACATATATATCCATATCACCTAAAGTAAAGAAATAAACTTTATTCTAACATAAATCAATAGCAAAAATAAAAGGGAATATTGAAGATAGAATGAGTTTTCAGAGTATCTGAGAACATGTATGTTTCCTTTAATTGTTCATTTTAAAATAATTTAACTTTGAAATTCATGTGTCTAGTGTTTCTTTTTTTAATATAAATGCAGAAAGAAATACAATTTTAAAAAATCCTTTGAGAGTTTTATACAATGTATTTTGATCACATTCTCCCTCTTCCAACTCTTCCCAGACCCACAATTCTTGAAGGCTGACCTTTACATGTGTACAGTGTGCCAAAAATAAAGAGCAAATCTGTAAGTCAAGGACATTAGAGCTAAGTAGAAAAAATATAGCATGTTAGCAAACAAGCTTCAAAAACCAGGGGGATTGTGAAACCCAATTAAGCATCTATTTTGACTTCAGTAATAAATGAATAAACTCCATTATAGAAATGCCCAGTCACATTGGGAGTTCCTAGAGAGGAACTAGGTGTTAATGGAGATTTATTATTTACTTAGTTAATATTTATTTATTTATTTATTCATTCTTGGCAATATTGGGGATAAGACATATGGACTCACACATGCACTCCATCACTGATCTATACCCTTAGCCCATTATTATGTCTTTATTATTGTCTTTGTAAGTTGTTATTGATGGATTACTCACAACCTTACCACTAAATGATTAGTAAAGTTGCTGTACTTTTGACCAATGCTGAGGTAACTGTCTGCTGTTTTTTATAATATGCAGTGGTCACTTTTAAATAGTTTTTAAATATGTTGATGTTTACATACTTTAGTTGTTATTTTAGTATCAACTTGAGAAAAGGTGGACAAAAACCATGATGAATTAAGGAATGCTTTTAAACAGATTTCTATTTTATCAATAAAAGTAAATATATATTTTGATAAAAGTGCATATATATGAGAGACATATTTTCAAAGCTACATCTAGGGCATTAATTGTTAATTACTCCTATGTAACAGTTCTAGAGCTTCCTGTTAGCTGCAGCAAACAATTCAAAATCCACAGCTCTTCAAGTTGTGAGACCAAGCTCAGTTATATGTCCCAGAATTGAAACTGACTTTGTAGTCAGTGTTGCAGAATGTGGTTCAGTTTCTTTTCCAGGGGATCTAGCTCCAAACATACTGACAACACCATAGGGACATGATATACAACTATCACAAGAGTTTTATAGTTGATTTCTAAGAATCAGCAAGTCAATGGAGAGAGGGTATGCGGTCACCACCAACAGCGGCTGCTCCTTCATTCTCACTGGAGTTGAGGCTGCTCCTCCTCTTGCCCTGGGCTGTGGCCACTCTTCTGCCTGTCCTGGGCTGAGACAGCTCTTCTGCCCACCCGGTGCTGTCTTCTGTCATCGCTGCTTCTGGTTGGTCCTGGACCCCAGGGCTAGTGAGGAGACTCTTTCAGCAGAGCCACATTCAGAGACAGGAGACCAGATTCAGTGACAGAGGTCTGCTTTATTGTAGGAAGGCACAAGCTTATATAGGGGTGGTGGTCCAATCACAGCACAGCAAGTAGGATACTTTATTAGCATAACAGGTTTAGCGTCCTATCACAGTACAGCAAGTAGGATACCTTATTAGCATAACAGACTTAGCATCCTATTAGCATAAATATTTAACATCCTATCACAGAATAGCTGGTAGGATGCCTAATTCAGCATATTGGGTTTCAGATTATAGAGCCTGGATTCCTGGAAACCACAAGACCTTGACTGTTGCAATATCTAAGTGTTGCAATTTGGAATTCCAAGGGTGGTGATTAGGGAGTGGAGAGCTCTAGGCATCAGTCTCATGATCTGCCCATGGGAGCAAATGCCACAAGGCATTCCTTGTGGCTCCAGCGGTCAGGCCATTGCCTCGGGCCTGCTGTTTAGCTGTCAATAAGACTTTCACCCTAGGCTCAAGCCTGTCTCCCACAAGGGTGGAGCTGTATTTACCATCTAGTTGATATTGAAGAAATAAGCAAGAATTTTTCACCAGAAGACTTCCTTTGTGGGAGGATACAAAGACAGCTCAGGGATCATTGTGGAGGAGGGAACAGAAAGAGTGTAAGAGCCAGGGTTGGTGCATGAGCATAAGGAAGCGGAGGCTTTCAGGCCACTGGGAACTAGTTCATATGAACTTGTAGCAATGCTGACAGTATGCACAAGACCCATGCCTTCTCAATCAGACAAAAATCCAGCATAGAAAAAGAGAAATGGGCAGCAGGCCCAAGCCCTAGCCAAGGAACTATTGGCAAATGATTTCTGCGGAGTGAGGGAGAGAAGATCTTTTTTAAGGGAGTAATTACAGACAGGCTGACCAAACTCCAGTGGATGAACTTGCATGGAGGGACACCTGGATAGAAATGTTGACCAGATAGGACTTAACACATATGATAGAATACCTGAAATCTGGTGGGGAGAGGGTCATTTGAATTTTGATTAAGATGTATTATATGAAAGAACAAAAATTCAATAAAAATGTTAAAAATAAAAAATGAGTAAGTTGATTAGAAGTGTATTCTCTACTCACTGATGTTGGTAAGAACTTGAAAGCACCACTGGTCAAGATTTAGTATTTTGATATTCTTCTCTACAATATAAAAAACTGAACTAAAAGTGAGCAGCGCAGTATAGATTTTTCAGTTCCTTCATGTTATTTTCCTTATTGTTTATAAGTGTCAATATAAGTGTTCATTTGCAACTGAAGGAAAGAACATGTTTGTATAAAGACATTTGACTCAATACCCAGGGACACAAGCTTTGAGTCACTTCTTAAGGAATGAGAGTATGAGAGTTTAGCAGTGATCATTTGACAAACAATCAGCAGAACTGCATCTTCTCATTGTTTCCTGAACCACAAACGTGCTTTCTGCTGTGGAGATTCGTATTCCTTTTGTCCTCATTCATCTTTTCCCCCCTAAATGCTCATAGCTCTATTTAAAGTACATTAGTACAGATATGATACAGCTTAATCTTTCTACAAAGCACTTACAAACTGGCTCATCTATAAAATATGTAGCAGAAACTGTTTATGGAACTGTTTACTCAGTATTCTGTCATTTCATGCAATAACCTTACTACAGAATTGTTTGCATCATTAGCTCCTGCAGCAAAGATTTAAGGCAGTAGCTCAAACACCTGATAAAGTAAATTTCCATACCATTAGTCGTTTCAGAGTTTCACTGTATCTTGATGCATCCATCATCTATTTTTTTTTCTGTCTTTTTGAAACAGGATCTCCCTGTAGCCCCAGCTGTCCTGGAACTCACTATGTAGACCAGGCTGGCCTTGAACTCACAGAGATCCTCCTGCCTCTGCCTCCCAAGTGCTGGGATTAAAGGCATACACCACAACATCCAGCTCCAACATCTATTTTTTAAATATTTTATTTATTATTCTTCTTTATTTTATGTATATGAGTGTATTGCCTGCATATATGTGAGTGCACCTTTGTCCTGCATTGTCACAGAGGTCAGAAGAGGGCGTTGGATTCCCCTGGAACTGGAGTTAAGGACAGTTCATCCATGTGGGTGCTGGGAATCAAACCCACAGTCAGTGCTCTTAACCACTGAGCCATCTCTTCAGCCCTCAACATCTATTTTTATTAAAATTCATGTTGCTTAAGAAATGTATAACTGACGAGAAAACTGGACCTATTCTTAGAGTAGATACCTGTTTGAGTATTTGCTGTATTAAGCAACCTTTGATTTTATTTTTTATGTTTTCAGTGCTAAATGCCATGCATAGTTCTAAGAAATAACTCAAAGATTCAAGCATGCTCATTTGAATTGGCTTTTATAACAAAAAAATTTTTATTTTACTTCAAATTACTAAATATGTAGAGAGACTATCTTTTATTCATATGCATGTCCCTCAATAATAAATCAGTTTCTCCAAAAGTAATATGTGAGTAGTACAATCACTAAATGTGCTCCATTTGAACACGGTTTATAAAACAAGGAGGGAGAGCTGGAGGGTTCAGGAAACACAAGCCTTCAAATGTTATTCAAATGATCTTCAGTCACTGACAAGTTCTATATTCCAGCTCACTGGTTAAAGATAAAAGTTCCAAGAATTTATAATCTTCTATTTACTTCTCAAGAAGGTTATACTTTAAACAAGGCTTTTGACAGAGAACCCATCTCCCATGTTCACAGGACCTTCTTCCCCCCTGTGTGTTTTCAACGACTGAACTCTCATCATGAGTAGGAGACAAACTGCAGTGCTTCAAATTATTTGAAGAAAAAAGGAATAGTTTCAGAGAAAAGCTAGAAAATTAAAAAAAAAAAAACCCACCAAAGAGCTCACTGTATGGATAGGAATCTGCAGATCTGATCGTGTGTCACTAACTCCTAAAACATGCAAAAACACATGAAGAAGAAAAACCGCTTCAGAGCAATTGTTGAAAGTTGATCCTATTTGGCGAATGATTCTACTGACTTCCCTAGATCCAAATGTTTATTTTTGCATCTGACCTTCCTCCCAAGTCAGCTTTGAAATCTATGCAGTTATCTTTTTAACCTACATCTGCTTTTTCAGAGAATAAATTAGTTGTTGATGAATCACTCCTTAGGATTCTGCCACTCACAATAAGTTTTATTGCCTTCTGAAACCATGGAATTAAAAAAAAAAGCATATATCAAAGGGTTCATGGTTGAATTGCAATAAACACACCACACTAATATTTCATAGACATATGGGGGCTTTATGACATTCATACATGCATCTATCACTGTATCAATAATGTATGGCAGCCAAGACACCAGAAACACAGCCATGGCAATCCCCAAAATTTCGACAGCCTTCTCTCTTTTGGCTACTCTTTCCTTATAGCTCTCTGAGGAGGGCTGAGCTTGGTTGGCTGTGCTTTCTATCTTCCTAGCCTGGTACTTAGCCACCAAAAATATCTTACTGTGTATAAACACCATGGCAACAGTGGGCAGGAAGAATAAAGAAAACAAAGTAAAACCCACTGTTGATTCAATGGCGCCTGACAGCCTCCCACACAAGTCAGAGCAACAACCAATTCCTCAATCCCTTCTTCATTGGCTCCATTACAAAAGATAGAAAAGCTGTATGCCACAGAACAGAATCAAATGAGAGCAATGCATAGTCCTGAAACCAACACAGTGAACTTGGTCGGATAGGTCAATGGATCAGTAACTGCAGTGTATCTATCAATGGAGATGCAGCACAAATGAAATAGAGACAGGAAAAAGAAGGAGGCGTCCAAACGCGTGGAACTTACAGAAATTCTCCCCAAAGTACCAGTGGCTCTCCACAGACCTCACTGTGCTGAAGGGCATCACAATCACTCCCACCAAGAAGTCAGAACAGACCAGGGACACCACCAGAAAGTTTGTTGGTGTGTGCAACTGTTTGAAGTGAAAGATAACAACAATGACTAGTAAGTTTCCAAACACAGCCAGCACAGCCCCCAAACCAAGGACTGCATAGAGGATGGCTCCGGCCCTGGTGAATAGAGGGTTTTAATGCAGGATTTGTTCACACTCTCATAGCAGAGCTCCACGGCTTCCACTGGGGAAAACTTGTTCATCCTTGCCTTCTTGCTTTAATGACTTGAAAGTTCCTAGATTTCCATTGCAGCAACCTAAAACAAACAAAAACTCTCAACTTCAAAAGCTTTAGGGAGAAAAAAAATCTCCAAGTGAAACCGAAGAAACTTTTATACTCATTATTTTATGTGCTGTCTATAACCTTTCTACAGACTTTCCCAAAGCACTCTAAAGTCTTTAATAGAATGGGAACTTGCTGCAGAAGCCATTTAAAAATGCATTACTAAATAAATGACCAGACATGTACATACTGTAATGTATACATTACAAAGTATAATTTGTTAATCATTAGAAAAGCCTTTCTTCCGTGGGTGTCATCTTACCTTTGGAAAAATCTCATGGGTAGCCACCTGAATTGAGCAGCAGTTACGCTTCCAAAACCTGAGCTTTATTCACCTAGTTAACTCCCCTGAGTGGCTACTTCAGCGGCAATGACAAACTAGCTTTGATTTTTTTTTTTGAAAACAGAAAAAATAAATTACATATCCTTCAAAGTATAATCTCAAAATCCCCACAGTACAGAGCGTGAAGATGGGAGAAAAGCTTAGAAGAGCATTGAAGATACTTTAGGAATGTACTTCTTTTAGAATCTTTTTTCTGTTTCCTTTCTTTTCAACATATTTTTTCCTGAATATTTGTGCATCACATACATTTTAACCATATTTAGGGTTCCCCTATCTGCACACCCTCACCCATAGCCTGCCCATAGGATTTCATGCATTTTGTCATAAATGTTACAGCCTATAAAATCAAGTTTGTATACTCAGATATCCTCAAGTGTGAGTTCACTCACTGCAACCTGGTCAGTCTATCTAGTGCCACTCCCTTAAGGAAGACCAACTCTCCCTCACCCAGCAGTGACCAACTGCCAATAATTCCTCACTAAGGTTGGGACCTCCTGCCCATTTCCCCAGTTCTATCCTGGGTTTTTGTATCATTGAGTTTACATGTATCTTTTGTGTTTCCTTCTTTTAACTCTTGATGATTTGGACAGCTTGAAGTGATTTGGAGAACTATTATCAAACTAATACTCAGATAATTAGTATAAAAATATTCAGACAAAAAAGTTTTCTAAAATCATTAAGAATTTATTGACTTCTTATTTAATAACTCACCTAACACATCACCTTTCTATTCTGAACTAGGAAGTTTAGTTTTAAACCCACTACAGGAGGGAGAGAGCAACAACTGGGGTAGGCTGGAGTGTTGTTTGCACATTTGTTGAGTCCTTTGAAATGTACATTCATGCTGTTATTCAAGGCTCAAATGGTTCCTGTAGGTGTTTGAATTTGTTTTTAGAGGAGACATATGATCTAAAGAAGGTTTCCAGAGTTCACCTAACAAGTAAATGTTTAATTTTTACTTTGTTTAACCATTAAAAAAATACAACCTTGCATCTAATTATTAATCTCTAACCTAGAGAATAGACTCTACTTCATGTCATTTACTCCATGACATATGTCTGGACTCTGTTGAAAATTCAGGATCCTATAAAATGGTATATGTACATGTACAGGGTATGTATCTTTTGTTTTTACATTTTCCAAGTAGTGGATTTCCCTCGTCTGCAGGTTTTAAAGGGTGTGTCTGTTATTTCAAGTTTCAGAATTCATTTTGTTGACTTTGGTTTCCTAAGTTTTCCCTGGTTTGATGTCTCAGAATTTGCTATCCTCTTTGCAGTATCCCCAGTAACTCCTGGGGTACCCCAGATGGTAAATGCATGTGTTGACAGATCCATGTGACCAATAAAGTCACATGATGGCATATTCTCTGCTTCTATGACCACTCTCCTGATAAAGTACAACCATGTCCTACTTTATTCCTTTATTCTCAGGACAGCAAAAGGAATTTCACCCCAGGTGGTGCCCTGCCTTAAAGTTCTGAATGCCTTTGTAAAGAGGCATTCTTGGAAAGCTACTTCACTAGTCTCCAAGTAAAGATGCTGTTGTGCAATGGAGAGTAACCCCCTTCCTCAGTGCATCATACTTAAGCACTAGAATAGCAGCCATCAATCTCAACAATGTCTTAACTCTTGCCCTTTCCTAGAAGCAAAGACACTTGGGTAACAAGGAACACTCCTTGGACTCATACCTTACTGTTTAATGATGTTTTTCACCCATGAGAAGAACAGGGTTTCTCAAAGAAATGTTTGTTCCAGCAATGAGATAGGTGAAGAGGTAGACACAATCAAACTCACTTTTATGCCAGAAACTAAAGGAGGTATTTTTCTTAATGTCAAGGAATTTCACAAGGCCCCTATTGCCAGCGTGAATGACTCCTAGTATAAAAATCTTGAACAACCTGAGTATCAAAATAATAATGGAAAAATAAAAATTATAAATTCTGAAACATGAGAGTCAGCTTGGCCAAAATAATTGTAGATAGATAGATATGGGTATGTAGATTATTATGATAGATAAGTAGGTAGATAGATGATAAACACCAGCCTAATAAAATAAGAAAATTATGGAACTTATTTCTGTCTGTAACATTTGAAATTTAGTTTAATCAACATCATATAACTGTTTTCTACAGACAGAAGTGGTTCATTAGGAAAAAGACAGCTGTGGTAATACTGCCATCCATCATTTACAAGCTATAACAATAGTCAATAGCTGTTTAACTTCTTTTAATTACTTTTCATGATGCTGGAAGTTCTCAGTAAACAATTATTGTCAAAGTGCTCTGGAGATATTTTGTATGCATACCTAAAAGGTTAATTTTAAAAAGAACTGTCTGGAAAGTACATTTTTTAACTGTCAAGAGTAATTTAGAATATTTTTCATGAACATTGTACATAGTAGCACATCACACCTGTAACACAATGAACTCTTGTAGAGCACAGAGCACTGGAAGGAAGGTATAGGAAAGTGGAGATGTGAACTATGCAGCAAATGATTCAGAAGGAAACATCTGTGGAGTAAATAGTTCTGAGGGAGCAATCAGAGATCCACACAACACAGTGGGGCCTTAGCTACCAAAAAAGTTGTCTGCCAAGTTTTGAATCCATATTGTTAAACTCTTTTTGTGTGTACTTAATAATCCTTAATGATTCCCTAGAATATTCTTGGACAAATTATGAAGCTTTAGAGCAGAGCAAACACCATTTAGTGTTCTTTGTTTAATAAATATTTTATCATATATAAACTCCTCCACCCTATGTTGAAACCCATCACCCTGATTTTATGTTCCCTATTATTGTTTTTAAGGGCCTACCAGGTCTAATCTGTGATCTCCTAATGCTCCTGGGTGTGGGTCCATCCCCTGAATCTTGGTCAACCTACCTAGTTCATACCCATAAAAAAAGACTGACTCTCCCTCTCCTAGCAGCTATCAATGGTCAATAGTTCTTCAGCTCGGAATAGAGCTTCTTGCCCACCTGATCCTTCTGCCTCTACCTCCCAAGTGCTATTATCACAGGTATGTATGTCCCTCTGCATACTTTTTAAGAAATGAAGTTTGTAGGATGGAGAGATGGCTCAGTGTTTAAGGCACTGGCTGCTCCCACGGAGGACTCAGGTTCAGTTCCCAGCACCCACATGGTGGCTAACAACCATCTGTAATTTCAGTTCTGGGGAATCAGATGACTTCTGTGGTCTTTGCACAACACGCGTGCACTTACATACATGCAGGCAAGATATTCATACACATAAAATAAAAAATTAAATTAAAATAGTTTTCTGCTAGTTCCAGCATTTTTGCTATCTGAGATGGTCTCAATTTATTTTCTTGGGCATTGGTCTCATTTTCCTGAGATTTAGTTTATAGGCATTATGACTATTATACTATACTATACTCTGAATTCTGCTGTTTTCTTTGGTATTTTTAATCTTTTTCACTTTACTAAACTCTGTTTTGGGTGCCAGCTTCTCTTAATTTAGATCTGCTGTCTTGACCAAGAGTATCTAATTTGTTTGATATATGTGCCACTCAGATATTTTCAAATCTAAATGCATTCCCCCAAATTCTTATATTGAAAATGAATAACCAGTATCATAGTATTAATAGGTGGAGCCTTCAGGAAACAATTTAGTGACCTTACAAAAGAAGTTCCAGAAAGCTGTTCTCCTCTGTCAGATGAAGATGGGGTGCAAGATACATCTACGAAATACAATATGGCCTAACCATACACTGCAGCTGTTGACAACTTGCTCTTGAATTTTTCAGCCTCTGGTATTACAAAAAATAAATTTCTATTGTTTAAAAATTATTCAGCATAAAATTATTCTTGTTGTGGCCTAAATAGACTCAGCCAGGTGTCAGAGCTGTAGGCAAACAGAATTTGGGGATTCCCAATCTGAATTTTCTGAGAATTCTTTCACTCTCTCCAATGAGTACAATTAGCTTGTGTTCACTTTGTGGGTTCTCTGGAACAAAATGTCTGCATTTTCTGACAAATTTCCCTGACAACCTGTATGTCATGCTAACTAAGTCAGGCCCCAAGCTGACAACAAGGGAACTAGGAGCTCTCTTCCTTCAAACATGCCTTTCCCACCAAAGCCTGCTTGCTGTGTTCATTCCCCAGTGCTTCTGATAGCTGCCTTTGATAATATCCAAACATAAACTGTCTATATGAAGGAGTCAGTCCTGCTAGATCTTACTCAATAATTAGCAGAAACCTGCCAGGCATGTATTACATTCCTAACTACCATCCTTATTCTCTGATCTTGATTTTATTGTTGCAAGCTACTCTTATTCTATGGCTGCAATTCACACTTGTTTGAAACTCTCTATGGTTATTAATCAAAATTGCTTAAATATGCTTTATGTGGCTGGGCATGATGGTGTACACCTTTAATCACAGCACTTGGGAGGCAGAGGCAGGCAGATCTCTATGAGTTCAAGGCCAACCTGGTCTACATAGTGAGTTCCAGGCCAGCTGGGGCTACAGAGAGACTCTGTCTCAAAAAGACCAAAAAAATACTTTATGTTCTCTATGTTGAGTTCTTTCTTGACTCAGTTTCTGTGTGTGTTCACCTTG